TCTGCTTGTGGAGCAGCCATCTTCCAAACAGTGAAAGTAGGTCAGGGAGGGAGCTGTCAAGCAAGGCAATCTCCTCGAATATTGATGATATGGAAATGGAAATTCAAACAATGGGGCATTGATTTCAGAGATAGGGATCATGACACAACTCATCTCCATTGGGTCTTAAGAGAATGGGGTAGGGGAACAGATGGGAAAATCCTAATCTGAGCAATGCTTTGGGAAATGAGAAGGAATGGAACCAGTTTTATGGAGGATGGGGAGTGAGAGCGACTCTCTTGCTGTCCATGTTGTGAAATAATGTCTCTGTTGTACTGGCAGGGTGTAACAGGCTGTTGAAGGTTTAGCAGATCTCACATCCATTAAGTCTTTTTGTATGTGTGTACTTTTATTCTTATTTGCAATTTTTCACAAAATAGAATTTGCAGGTATAGACTCCTGTCTCTGTGCAAAGGCAGAGCCTTTTCTCTCAGTCAAGCAAAATACACCCAAGCCAGAATCCTGTTGGTGATTTAGGCAAGCAAAGTTGAGGGTTATCTAGTTTAAGTGTAATTTTTTTTTGGAGATTGTGTCCTCTATTTTTGGTGGTGTTATATATTTTATAGTAAGTGGTACTGACAATGCAAAGGGATCTTGTAGCACCTTAGAGACAAACTGGAAGAAAGAAGCTGGTGGCATAAGCTTTTGTAGATTTGGTCTCCTTCCTCAGATCAAGTCTATGAATGCTTATGTTATCATTGTCTTTCTTTCTCTCAGTGTCGAAGATACCAGAAGATCCCGTTGCATACTGATATTTCAGACTAACATGGCTATGTCTCTGAATTCTGCTCTGATAATAATAAGGCAAAAAAGGATGAGACCAACAGTAACTAGGAGGAGGCATTTCACTGTGTTTGAGTATGGAAAAATGCTCCAGTGTTAGATAACCACCAAATGATAGCATTGTGGGTAAATGGACTTGGTCATCGTAAAAACCCAGAAGACCAGTTTGGATTCAGTTCCAGCATAAAGGCTTAAATTCAGTTCTAGCATAAATTAACTGAGTATAAGCAACAGTTGACATTATTTGGGGAAAAGCCTATGTGATCTAATGGTTTGAGTGTGGGACTACAACTCTGGAGACCAGGATTTGATTCCCCATCAGCCATGGAAGCCCACTAGGTGACCGTGGACAAGTCACACTTTCTCAACCTCAGAGGACAGCAAACCTATTCTGAAGCAACTTGCCAAGAAAACCCGAGGATAGGCTTGTCTTAGGGTCACCATATGTCAGAAATTACTTGAAGGCACACAACAACAACAATAAGAGAGTCCTCAATGTTTGGTAGGCTTTTGGCGACCTGTTTCCACCCCCCTTTCACCACCTTATTTGCTTCTTCACAGGGGAGAGGCTGGGAGATTTTCCATGTGGAGAGGAGAGGCCTGCCAGACTGTGTGAAGAAGGAACATGCAAAAAATACTGGGAGGGCCCCAACTTTGGAATTACCAACTTTGACAATATCCTGTTTGCTGTGCTCACCGTCTTCCAATGCATCACGATGGAGGGATGGACAGACATCCTCTACAATGTAAGTACAACTGATGGCGTTGGTAAAGCTCCTACATGGATTCTGGAACTGTTAGGCATGACACCCTGTCCTTCTGCTTCATTGTCTGTGTCAGAATCTGAACCTGGGTCCTGGGAACAAGGCATGGCAGGATGGAGTGGAGGAAAACTCAACTGATCAACAGAGTCAGACTTTCCCATTTGTATTGTTTCCAGCCAGTCTTGATGTCCTTTTGAGCAAGGAAATTGGCTGTCTCAGGAAGCCTATGGAAACTAGGCACTGCTATACCAATGTGGAGAAAACTGATTATCTTTTTTTAGTAAATGTGTAGATGTATACAAAGACTGACATGGAAGCCATTCTTTCCCCAGTGTCTTTCTCTCAATCGCTCTTTCTCTGATAATAAATTAAAGGGTTATAAAAAGGTAAGTCGATGGATCGGAGGTTCTGACTGAACACACAACTCTTTGCTCCTCTTTGCTTCCTTTGTTCCAGCCTTAAGCTTTAAGGGAGGCTCCCCCCATTTTTTTTAATTGAAGCCGATGAAAGCTTTCTAAGCAAGACACTATCTGGGAAATGATTTATGCTGGAGGCAGAGAGATTAAAGCATCAATGAGGCAAAAAGCTTTGAGGGGACACAGGGGAGAGGAAGATCCATTCCTGAAGTGGCGTCATAAACTTGGCTTCCTGAAAGAGGTTTTGTGGTCACCGCCAGAGAGTCACATGGAGCCATGGGGGTTGGGGTCATAAACAAGGTGGAATTTCTGAGATGGAGGGCATGAGAAAAGAGCATGAGTTGCAGACCCCAGCCTTCTTGTTGCAAAGTAGGACTAGTTTACTACCTCTTAACTCTACTGATCCACATCACCTATAGTTCCTTTGGGTAGCTTGGAGAGGTGGGGTGATGGAAGTGGTTGCATAGCCCAGTCCTTCTTGTTGCAAGGTAGGATCAGTTAACCACCTTTTAACTGTACTGATCCATATTACTTAGGTTACAAAAGTTCCTTGGAATGGTAGAGCTGGGGTGATGGAAAGGTTGCATAGTCCAGTCCTTGTGGCAAGGTAGGGCCAGCTAACCACCTTCTAACTCGACTGATCCATATCACTTAGGTTACAAAAGTTCATTTGGATAGCTTGGAGTGGTGGGATTTGGGGTGATGGAAATGCTTGCATAGCCCAGTCCTTGTTGCAGAGTAGGACTGGGTAACCATCTTCTAACTCTACTGATGCACATCTCCTAGCAATACAGAGTTTACAAAAGTTCCTTTTTCGGATGACATCTCCCAGAATAACCTAGCTAGCCTGGCTACCCATGGATCTTGGGAATTGTCATGCCAAAAAAGGAGGAACTTTTATAAACTCGGTATACACCATAAAGAACATAGTCTGCCTTAAGCAGACTACAGGTTCAGACCATGGATGGACCTGTCTCTCCGGTAGACACTTAGTAAGTGTCTTAAACCACATTACAGTATGTGTTTATGGCTAGAACACTTCCTTGGTCTGTTGATGGTCTTTTGACTGTAAATTGCTACTTTTTAATTCCTGATTGTGGATCATTCATTCATTCATTCATTCACTGTAAGATTTGTATGTCTCTGTTACCACTATATCAGATGATGTAAATGGCTAAAGAGAGTCAGCATGGTGTAGTGATTTGAGTGTTGGAGACTCAGGGTTCAATTCTCTGCTTGGCCATGGAAAACCATTGGGTGACCTTGGGTGAGTCGCACACTCTCGGCCCCAGAAACCTCTGGGATAGATTCATCTTAGGGTCACCATGAGTACTTAGAAGTGACTTGAAGACACACAACAAGAAGAAAAAGAAATGGAAAAAGAGTAGAGCTTTTCTGTGGTGGCACCCCATTTATGAAGTGCTCTCATACTGGTTGCCTATTACCTTTTTGATGCTGAGTGAAGATATATTTTCTCAGGCATTTTAAGGGCCCCTTTTTGCAGTTGTAACCCTCTTTGATCTTGCTACTGGTTTTATTTTGGGGTTCCAAAGGTTACTAATTTTATTCTCTGCTGCTAGTTTTATCTTGATTTTATTATGTGCCATCATCAGTCATTGTTTCATTATGTGGACATGAAAGAAGCTTGCTGTTCCCTGGATTTTTATCAGGTCTGGCCTCTTTGACATGATGAGACTGCATTTCGAGCATTCATCAATCCCTGAGGGAGTTGTTGGCTCCGGCATCAGACTGAGACACTAAATCATTTTTAGTGGGGTCCTGTTCTTCATAATTTGTGCAAAAATTATAAGTGTACTTTGTGCAAAAGTCCTGATGTCTGATAGTAAGAATAGGCTGATTTCTTAAGCTGCTTTCCAAGATGTCAGTGCTAGGATTTGTTTATATGATGGCCCCAAAATGGAACATATGCAGAATGTGTTCCACGTTGTGTGGTTTATAAAGGATATAGAAGTAGCGGCTGGTAGCTTTCATGCCATTGAGGCAGCAACTCTTTTACTCAGATTTTTAAAAGGAGCTGTCCAAGGTTCTGCAAGCTTGATGCACAGGACTGACCATCAAGACATAGCAATTTGCAAGTTTGTGCTTTACCTAAATATCAAGCAGAAGTGCTGATTTCAGTTAATCATGCATTTCTCTGCAAAAATTAGCTTACTGTCAACATTCCTAAATGGTAAGAAGTACACATTTCTGTATTTATGAAGGGCCTATGCCTCCAAATGTGGGTATTTGGGGCATCTGATTCAGTCTACATAAAAGGAAAGGCTTTCCAACCCTCAAATAGGGGATGTCTCTTATAATAAAGGACATCCACCAGCCCTATATGATCCAAAGTGATGTAGCATTGGGCTATGGCCCTTGAGAACAGGGTTTGAATCCCCACTCATTATGAAACCCACTGGGTGACCCTGGGCATGTCACATACTCTCAGCCTCAGAGGATGGCAATGGTAAATGCCCTTTGAACAAATCTTGCCAAGAAAACCCCATGATAGGTTTCCCTTAGGGTCACCATAAGTCAGAAATGACTTGAAGGCACACAACAAACCACCCCTATAAAGGATAGGCTTTCTCAAATAAGAGACATCTTTTAGGCAACCCTAACTCTTCTTGAAATGGGATTAATTTCTCACCTGACATTTGCTGATGGTGACACTTTCTATTGCTCTGAAATCCTAAAACTGGGCTTGCTATTCCCTCTCCATCTAGAGGCCATTTTAACTGCCAGGTCCCACCAAGACAGAAATCCATAACTGTTATGATGCTAACATGAGCATAAACCAAAGAGGTCCCCCTTTACAGGGATATTTATGTGCATCTGAAGCTCTCTGTTTGCAAATTTGCTGGAGAGTGAAGCAAGGAGTGGAGGGAAGCATGGAGATCATGCAAGCACCTTTCCCACTGTATGGGAGCTTTAGCACTTCCTTGTTGTACATTAATATGAAAAAAGAGAAGGATGGAGAAAAAAAATCTGCTTAGCCAGTCTGATCTGGGAATTGAACCCTGGTCTCTAGAGTTGTAGCCCCAGACTCAAGCCACTAAGCCAGACAGAGTAGAAATTCAAAGGACCACAAAATGTAAAAAGTAATCATCTTAAAGTTTTCAAAGATAAGCACATTAACCATTCATGAATGGAGCAATGGATGACAGTAATGCAAAAGTGTTAAGTTAATTAATACCTGTAGAAGGACAGGAAACCACTGTCTCCGTTCGTGCCCAAAAGGAAAGAGTCAGATTGGTGTTATCATCCATTATTGCTGCCCTGAAGGGCACTGTGCTTATTTTGCATACATGTAAGCTTTGATTGAAGGGTCACAGACTGTACTTTTTGCATTTCATGGCCATTTGACTCAAGGATGGGCAGATCTGTCTTGTCTTGCTTTGTTCAGTTTCTTTATTTCCCTCTGGCGTAAATTGTTCTATCCTGTTGCCTTCTCAGATTGTGATGTTCCCTTGCATGTATATATTTTAATAGGCATTTTCCTAATGTACATATTTCTGTACACTTGTTTATATTGTTTGAAATGGGTTGGTGCACTTTATCCCAATGGACACATTTTGCACAATTTTGACACACATGAATGGATTTGAAAAATAGATTGGTGTCCATTTTAAATCTTGGGAATACATCATAAATGTGGACATTGCTACCCAAATAAGAATTCTCTCCCCACTGATGAAATTTTCCTCCAATCCCCCCAATTTCTAGCAATGGAGTAATTCAAAACTTTAGTTGATCATTTAGAAATACATTTTAGCCATCCAAAAGAAAAAGTGTAGGCAAAGTTTCCAAGGGAATGAGAACATAGCAAATAGAAGAGGCCAACATGTGAACCTTTCTCAATGGTCCAAAACATATTGCAGAAATAATCTAGTTTGAAATTGCTTTAACTGCCTTGGCTCAGTGCTTGGGAATCCTGGGAATTGTACTTTATTGTGGCACCAGAGCTCTGTGACAGAGAAGGCTAAATGTCTCAAAACTACAGTTCCTAGAATTCACTAGCATTTAGCCAGGGCAGTCAAAACAGTCTCAAACTGGATAATCTCTGCAATGTGTTTTGGACCAATGCCTCACTTTTTCCAGTGCTAGAAATTTGGAGATTGAAGGGAATTTTCATGGATGGGGTGTGTGTGCATGGAATTATTTTTTGAAGGTGAAACAGCCTCACTTCCCTTCTTCCTTCCTTCCTTCCTTCCTTCCTTCTCTCCCTCACTCCATATTAGTTTAGATTTTGATTTTCCCTACAAAAAAGGTGGCCCACCAGATTTTAATCCCATTGTTATCATAGATGCATTCTTCAGTCTCATCAGCTAATTGTAAAACTCTGGTAAATTTTGCAGATAACCTTTAAAAGCAGACTTACAAAGGGCTCATCAATTGTTTTTAGGCTTCGTCTTCGGCTGGTTTGCTTCCTAAACATAGACACAGTGCCCAATATGTTAGTTACTCTAGAAAGGAACTTTCTGGCTAGTTTGCTGTGCCAAGAAACACTTGCAGGGCCCAGGAAAGATCTCTCTGTTCCCTGGATGAGCAAAAGTTGTCAAGTTGTGATTGAATTTCTTCAGCTCCTGCTTATGTTTCCTGGCAAGGGATGACAGATGAAGTGCTTTGTTTTCTTTCTAAGTTCCTTTGCACGGATTTGGTCCAAAATCCACTTTCTCTGTGCATGATGGCTTGGTCTTTAGATCTTCAATATTTGTACAAAAGAAAGAAGAAAAGAAAAAGATGGATATTCCAATTCCATTACAGACTGTTCCAGTATATCAGGTGCCATATGTCCCATCAGCCGCAGCCAGCATAGCCAATGGTGAGGGATAATGGATGTTGTAGTTCAACAGCAACCAGTGGCCACTATTGCAACATTGTGCATTCACTCTAGAATGAGAAGAGAAATAATATTTGCAATTATTTCTTTCCAGGCAGAGAACAGTGAGAATTTTGCACCACTGATATGGAACATCCTAAAATGTTGCACAGGAATTATCCTGCAGAGAAAAATGTGTTTTGTCTGATGTAAACCTCTTGTTTTCTGTGCAGAAAATGGGTTGCTTGTGCAGGCAACGTTGTTTCTTGTGCAGAAAACCTATGCAGAAAACTGTTTTTTAAAATTGCTCTGGAAAAAACATGTGAGTTATCCCAGAGGATAATTCCTTGGGATGGTCAAATATGGAGAGAATGCTATGGAAGATGATTCATTTTTTCCCACAATGGGGAGAAAAAAAAAAGCTGTAATTATTTGCCCTTGCTTGCAAAGATGAAATAATTGAGGATTTAGGCTGCAATCCTGTTTACACTTACCTAGGAGTGAGCGCAACTGAGTACATTGGTACTTACTTCTGAGTAGGCATATATAGGATTACACTATTAGTTTCCTGCTCTAGGGTGCAATGGGTAAAATATTGTCTGGCCTGGAGGAAAGGAAAGGGAGAGAAGTCGTTCTCGTGACAAAAACTTTTATTTCATCATAGATTTTATTAGGAATGGCTTGTGCACTTAGATCATTGTGAAGTCTGAGACAAACTTACCTGAGCCATGCCTTTCACACTAATTGGTGGATCGGAGTTTAATCGCCCACCAGATTTTGGATTTTTTCCAAAAGCCATTCTTGGCAACGCCAGCTCATAAAAACGTGATTCAAAGTGCATATTTTGAAGGAAAGTGCATATTTTTAGAAAGGTGGGCCTTGAGAGGAGAGAGGGTTTAAAAATACATTTAAATATATATATTGGAATGTGACTTCTTTTGAGCAAGGTTTAAAAATAAAATTGCTGATTAACATGGAACGGAGACGGAACAGAGAGACATGGGTGAGC